AAATTATTCTAAGGATTTGAGATAATCATAAAAAGGTATATATATATAGGGAGGGTCGATGAGTGTATACGTAGATTTTTCTTTATATTCAAGACATACAAGTGCATGTTCGAAAAGCACTTATGTAGACGCATGTTCCACGAAGACAGTATTCTGATACAGTTATTAAATATTAGAATTTTCATTGCATAATGTTCCATCTGCGTGACTGAGGTGTTGAAACGAGTGAACTGATAAGTAAAGGAATTATATTGAAAGATAAATATTTGTGTGTAAAATAATAAGTTTGAAATCAACAAATTTTTCAGCATTCATCTACGGACATAATGACAGACACATATCTACCATATCAATACGTGATATATATATATATGGATGTATATATATATATATGTGTGTGTGTGTGTGTGCTAATACCCTTGGGAAAGGTATGAATCCTCTTCCCCTCCCTCCAGCTATGGGTAAAATAGCAGGACAGACTTGGTTCTATAGCCTTGGATGGGAACTGGTCTAGGAGAAGGACAACTCTGAATTCAAAACATGCGGAGGGTCGTTTGGGAACCTTGTGGCATTCGGTGCACCAGGTCTCTGTAATCGGCCCTTCAAAAAGTGTGGATGGTCCTGCACGAGGCCTTCACCACTATAATCATATCTCATGTGCCGGTGTCGGGCTGTCGGTTTCCTGTAAACTAATCTGCTTGACCCTCATACGTCGAATCTCGACGGGTGAGTCGATTATTATTATTATTATTATATATGGATGTATACAGAGTGCGATGGATAAATTGTCGTCTAAATTAGTAAAAATAAAAATAACACTGACATCTCATTTTAACAGATGTATTTACCATTTAAACTTGGTATTGAATGAACCATAAGGCGTTTATACGCCATTAAACAAACAAATCAATCATATGGTCCGGCGCTATATACCTTGAGCTTCTTGATAAAAATCCAAAGACGAATCAGCAATATTATTTGTCCTAATCTAAGTGGCTCAGCTTCAATCACTTAAGGTTGCCTCTCTGTGTCTTTTCAATAAATGCTATCATGATAATTGTTCGGATGATCTCTTTGCTATGGTACGTAGAGTTTTTGAATTTAAGCGCAGTAATAAACTGGCGTCGAGATCTCATCAATTTACAACTGAGCTGGCTAGATGTAGTCGTAAATTCTATGTTAACATTTTCTTTTCAGGCACATCTCGCTTTTGGAATTCTTTCCCGGCTCCATACTTCCCCAGCCAATTTTAATCTGCAAAAATTTAGATGCAATGTCAATCGCTATCAACTGTACTCCTGATTACTCTTTTCTCTTCTCGATCATTATTAATTTTTCTGTTCCTAATTCTTCCACATCCTGTAATCCCTTGTGTCTTAGTGGCTGTACTGCCTTGAATGGGGTGATCCCGATTATAAAAAAGAACAATTAAATCAATGATAATATGTAGAGCCCTTTAGTTGCATTTATGACCTATTATGGACATTGAAAAACTTCACCTTGACTGCCTCCCTAAAACATACCCATCCAATAACAATCCACCTAAAAACTAAAATTAATAGAAAATTGTAAAAATAGAAAGCCCCATAAATAGAGATTGAAAGCGAAATTCTACATCAATCAAGAACTTAACACAAATGCCTCACTGAAGAACGTCCTGGGTATGACGATAAACTACATCTACGTCCTGGGTAAGACGATAAATTACGTCCGACAACAAGACCTCTGATCAAGAGGTTTTGAGGAGCTTTGAACCACCTCTTAATTGCTAGTGTTCCCAGGTCCAGCCTGACCTGGGGTGGTAGCACCGGTTAGGATCCCAACTATGGGCAAATAGTTAACCCCTAAACTGGGGTTAAAACACTACGAAAGTGTAAAAATAGGTTTTACCAGCAATACATTTTTGAAAAATAATATTACCAGGAATAGATTTTTGAACAAAGCAAAATATATTTCCAGCAATACATTTTTGAAAAAAAGGTTACCAGAAATACATTTTTGAAAAAAAAATATTACCCGCTATACATTTTTTGAAAAAAATATTACCAGCTATGGATTTTTGAAAAAAAAAATTACCAGTAATACAGTTTAGGAAAAAAATATTAGCAGTAATAAAATAAATTGTCGGCATTAAATAACACATTGAGGTTGATATGCCGTAAAATAAACCAAACCAAACCTCACTCAAGTAAGAAGACGTTTTTAAAACAAAATAAAATAAAACGATCTATAAAGTCCGGTGGATACATTGAATACAAACTGAAATTCTAATTCTCTTTGCTTGGAGTCATAAAATTGGCGCCAAACAGTAAAGAATGGTGTCTGGTATACAAACCACATCGGCTTATTCCCAACAATGTGAGCTACACAGACGTAACTACTCTCAGCCACGTCGTGTATTAAATAATTCGATATTTATATAAAAGGATGTTTTCCAATTCCTTCCCTACTTCGAACTGATATCCAATCCTTGCTGAAATCTACACTGGTCTAACTTACACATCTGTCTGACAGGTTAATGTATTCAGCTTCTTTCAATTTTCTTACTCTCCAGCAATTTCCTCGATCTCATCAGGACCAGAAAGCGTAACATGAATACTTATTCAGATAAAAAGGGACATCTGAAAACGCTAAAAAATAAACATAAAAATATTAATATATGTAAAAAGTTAAATAGCACCTAGAAGTTTCTTGTGTTATCCTAAACACAAAAAATTCAAGCATACACACGGTACCTCAAAAGATGGACAGCCATTTTGAATTTTTGTTGATTCAATCCTCATTAAGATACATCGAAGTTGTAACATGTAAATTAAAGAAAAATATAGCATGATCTTGAGTTGTAGCAAGTTTTTTTCCGAATTATGACCATTCCTATCAAGACGTTGGTAAGAAAATAAACCACTGGAATTTCAAACATCACAAATCACTTCTGCTTTAAACTTATCTCTCGTGTGAACAATACTGAATTGCATTAACAGATCTATTTGAAACGTCCTTCTAAACTATCGTTGGACTTCTGCATCTGGTACATTTTCTCTTATTTTATTTCATCCATTATTCTACGTAAGTTACAGCCAAAATTGAATATATGTTTAGTGAGTTATGGGCTGTAAAGGCGTGTGTATGTTTTTTTCAACACTAGACACACACACACACACACACACACATATATATATATATATATATATATATATGTATATATATATATATATATATATATATAAAAAAATATACTCTTAAGGTGTACTATATTTATGGGATAATAAAATTTATGGGGAAATTAAAACATCCCTACTACACACTAAAACATACACATAATGCACACACTCAATTAAGCTGAAAAATCGAATCATCCTTGATAATAGCTAAAGGTATAGTCGAAAGGGCTCGGAAATATAAAACATTTGGACAGTTTTTACACACTCTTTGTCCAGAAAAAAAAAAGCTCTTGTTCGAACACAAGAAAAATTATAAAAGCTTAACTGTAGAACCTTGTCTGTCGTTTTTAAAGAAACATGCATATATATATATATATATATATATATATATATATATATATATGTGTGTGTGTGTGTGTGTGTGTGTGTGTGTGTGTGTGTGTGTGTGTGTGTGTGTGTGTTACTAAATGAGTTTGTTGTAAGTGTATAAAAGGATAAAGTAAAAAGTGAACATGAGGACGTATAGGATAAATTACGGGAGATGACGACTTGATGAAATCCAGGTTGAAAATGACCAGGAAGGCAAAATGTGCCTAGTTACATAAACATTTCCTCCAACCGCCCATCCAGCATGAATAAGCAATCTAGCGATCACGGCCATAAATAACCATCACCATTAGTCCTAAACTAATATATTGGGAAGAGCCGATTTTATATTCCCCCACTTCCCCTAATCTCTCAGTAACCTATACATGCAGCCGTGTATATGCACTAATGGAGTTGTAGTGCTTGATCTGAAGGTCACATTTTAGCGGGAAACTAAAAGTCGCCATGTAGTGTCTATTCCAATGAGAGAGAGCGAGAGAGTAAGCTCCTTTATATTGTGGACGCTTGTTTACAAAATATACCATAACATATCTACAACGGTTATTTTTAACATAACTGTTACAAATACCACCATCACAACGATCACAGTTATATTAAGTTTGTCTTCGCAACCCCCTCCACACACACACACACACACACACACACACTTGAGAATGATCCCGGATGAGATTGGAAGTACTTGGGTTAGCAAGAACTACGGCGCCTTCCTTGATTAATTTTATCTTAACATCAAAAAACTGATCAGAGAACTAGGAAGGATTATTATAAAATAAATAGACATAATATGTTTATATTATTCAATAAAATATGCTTGAATGAAGATATGCTACTAAAATATATATATATATATATATATATATATATATATATATATATATATATATATATATATATATATATATATATATTGTGTGTGTTGTGTGTGTGTCTGTGTGTGTGTGTGTGTGTGTGTGAATGCGCTACGGGTACTCTACAGTAATTTTAGCAATTATTACATAACAAAAATTCAGTACAAACCCACTAGTGTCAACGTACCTCAATAATTATGCACCCACCCAGTATCTTCAAAATGATTGCCGACATCAATCTTGGCAAAATTAAAACGGAATACGATACCGAATTTTGATCCAGGGTTTCAAATAAACATCGCCTCTACACACACATTTAATTTAACGTTTAAAGTTTCACAAACTGCATACACAGCATATATTTCCGAGTCTATATGCTCGTATGTGTGAATGTGTGTATCGTAGATTGAATGTGTGAATGTATACACACACACACACACATGCGCGCGCAAGGTATTTTCTCAAATGATCTACAGAAATCATACAGCAAAAACACGGAACAGTTACACTGTTAGGCAAGCGTCGCCAAAGACATTTTTTTTTTTTAGATACAACTTTTTAGTGGAATGTCTACAGCGTCCAGAAGAACTCATCCATTTTGTTCTTATAAAAGAAGATAGATAGATAGATAGATAGATAGATAGATAGATAGATAGATAGATTGCCTAATGAGGATCGAGCTCACTACTTCGTATTCATAGATAGATAGATAGATAGATAGATAGATAGATAGATATAAATAGTTATATAGATATGAACAGATAGAGATAGACAGACAGAAAATAAGATTAATAAATGTAAAAGTTAAATGATGTAGATTTGAACAGATAGATAGATAGATAGATAGATAGATAGATAGATAGATAGATAGATTGCCTAATGAGGATCGAGCTCACTACTTCGTAGTCATAGATAGATAGATAGATAGATAGATAGATAGATATAAATAGTTACATAGATATGAACAGATAGAGATAGACAGACAGAAAATAAGATTAATAAATGTAAAAGTTAAATGATGTAGATTTGAACAGATAGATAGATAGATAGATAGATAGATAGATAGATAGATAGATAGATAGATAGAATTAATGCACACAGTTTACAAGAATATATTTCAAATGAATAAAATGCCAAAGAAAAAAAGACAGAACATTAGCTTTTGTAATAACCGTATTTTTTTTTAAATAATCATTTCTTCAAAGCCATTAAATTTGGATTCACCAAATGATATAATAATTTGTACGTTTCTCCATCAACTCGATGGATGGCAGACATGAACAGAAAATGTCTTCCAATTGACAACGACGTGTTGCATAGGAAATTAAAATTTTAATAACGATTCTACAAAAGAATGTTGACTTTCCAGAGGGAATCTTTGGACGTATCTAATCTGAATGTGATGTATGCGTAGTGAAGTGGTTAATGGTTACCGGAAAGTGATATCTGCGTTTCATGCTGCGTTCACTTTCGCACAAATATTCTTGCTACGGTAGGAATTCGTCTTTTCACCGCCGCCAACACCCAATTAGAGGTTCACAGCAGACCGAGCATTGGTTGGAAACCAGTCTAAGAGAAAAATGACTCTGAATTCAAAGCGCATTACCCCACACTCCTCTGGATATCTCGAGTTTTAACATAGATACATTATATATGGTTCGTTATTCGATGTTGAATTTACTATTTAAGACACCTTATCCACAACGAAAAATGAAATCCTATGTTTTTCTAGGCGACAAATAAATCCTATGTTTTTCTATGTTTTTGATACCAGCATAATATATATATATATATATATATATATATATATATATATATATATATATATATATATATATATATATAAGTATAGGTTTAGTGCGTACGAAATAAATTCCAATAACCAAAAAATACTATTCTTAAAAGAGTGCTCAATACAGAATAAAGCAAATATAATTTATTTGAAAATTATGACGTAAATATGCTATAAAATCACTACAAATATAATCATTTTGTTACAACACTTCTGGTGTCTTATAAAGTGATATCACTTGTTAAGACACCTGAAGTATTGAACAAAATGCTATTTTGTAGTGATTTTATAACATATTCATGTTATAATTTTCGAATAAATGCTCTATATATATATATATATATATATATATATACATATATATATATATATATATATATATATATATATATATATATATATATATATATATATATATATATATATATATATATATATATATATATATATATATATATATATATATATATATATATATATATATACTGTCTGTAACATTTAATTTACAAGCGGTTTCAATACAGAGTAGAGCTAAATATTAATTATTATAGATTAATATGACCAAATGTGACCAACGTTAAATTCAAACTAACCAAAAAGAATTTATATAGGCCATGAGATGAAGTTGTCTGCATATAAATCCGAGACAATTTAATTTGGGACAGATACAAATGGTTACATTATTTCGTAATATATATAGACGTATGACGTTCACAATTCGCAAGAATTTAAAAGGAAAGCGGTAGGGAGTTAATCTAGCATAATGTTAATTAATTATATGCTCGGTCAGCTTCTTAAAAAAAAATGTAGTTGATAATTGAAAGGAGTCTTTAAGAAACTGACAAATAAACTAACCGTTTAAATCTAAAGGAATCTTACAAATAGAGCAATAAGTCATATATGATGCACCGCATTTCACCTACTAGTTATTACTATAAGAAAATGAATTATCAAACTCAAAGTTTAACCATATTGTAAGGTAATAGGTAGACTATGCCTACAATTTTAGTTCAATTCACTTCTTTGTTTAATAAGGAGTTTTTATCAGAAAATCCGATAATTTCAAATTTCTCATGCAAGCATAAAAAACAAGGTTCATTTAAAGATCTGCATGTTCTAGCTTTTTTTACAATTTTCCATTTTACCTTATGAGTTTTATTAGATTCTTTTAAATTCCAAAAATATTTAGAAAGAGGTGTACTATTTTTATAAGTACTATTGATGAGGATAAGATATGTTGGTGCCAACTAGCCTTAAAATAATTCGTAGTACTACTAATATAAAATTTTTCAACAGTCGGATTCTCTATTATAGAAATAGTACTTAGATAAACAAAAGAGTTCGTCAAACATATGTTTCATAACGGGCATTCGTTAGAAACCTTGCAATTACACTGGTTAATATTATAAATAGTATTTATCTTTGAATGTTCTTTATTATCATTTTTTTAAATTGGTTTAAAATTTTATTATTGCGTTTATTTATAATCTTCTCAAGATTATCTGTCCAGCTATAACTTAGTTTTAGTGTGTTTCTGATAAATATTTTACTAAGAGGATTACATTTAGGGAAATATTTATTAATTAAATGGAGGAACTTCTGGCTTAGTACCTAACTTAGTACTGACCAACTGCTTAAATGGGGGGGGGTGTACCAAATGACTTTCCTATTCATATTTTTTTCCTTAGATTGCTATTATCATTGCTTGATTTAAGCGTACTTGTAACCACTATTTTTAAAGCAGTATTATAAACACTGCTGTATTTATCAAACACATTTTTGCCAGATGAGTTGTTGCTAATCCTACATTCTATAGACGACGGTATATGTTTGATTACACATGGAGGGTGGTCAGAATTGTGGTGAATATATATTGAGTTAGCATTATTTTTCATATAAGATTAGAATATATCATTATCAATATCTAACTTAAAATCTCTCTCTCTCTCTCTCTCTCTCTCTCTCTATATATATATATATATATATATATATATATATATATATAAGTTGCCATTGAATTCAACACCCAGAGCCGACAGTCTGTTTCATGCTAAACGTAATCGATGGCCTGAAGATTGTGTTTAGGATGAAACAGATTGTCATCTCTAGTATTGACGTCAATGTCTACTTTTATATTTACATACACTCTATCCTTAATATTGAACACTTTAACCCATAAATATAGCATGACTTAAAACTATATATTACCATATATATATATATATATATATATATTTGTGTGTGTATGTCTGTGTGTGTGTATGTGTGTGCATCCAAATGAAGAGAAAGAACGAACAGATTTAGAATCTACAGTGAAAATATATTTAATGGATTTTTCATTAAAATATCTATGTATTACAATTATATACCCATTATTCTATTATATACATAGCTACATGTAATATCGATTTAATTCCTTGATTTATTTTTTTATTTTAAATATTGCCATGTATTAAGGCCCATTGAATAAAATAAGTAGTGTATTTTAGGTTCAAAATTATATAAAAATGATTTTATAAAAATGATTTAATCAAACCAGAGGCCCTGTTAAGATAGTTCTAATGTATACATAAAAATAATTAAAAAAAAAAATAACCTATTATTAGAGATATACATATCTCTCGGGTTATTTCTGCGTATCTTAAGTGTATATTCTTAAGCGGTTATATGGCGTTGCGTCTTAATATGACAGCTCCCCGTGACATGTATGAATACCATGCCCCCCACCACAACATATAACATATATCTTTAACTTTTCTGCTTTAGCTTTGACCTGTCTTTCGATTGGTCAAAAGAGACATACCCATATGATTTTAAAATCTGAATCCCCCTCCTTCTTAACTCTTTAATAAGCAAACACATTGTTTTCTGTTTTCGAAAATAGATCATTTTCATCAAAAGTTACCGAACATTGCCTGATGACAGGATAAAAAAAACTTATGTCCCGAAACATAGAAATTTTCGTGTCACCATGTAAAATATTTTTAAATAAAAATATCATTTCATATATATATATATAGGATATGAGTGTGTCATATGTATCATTTCAATTTCCTATTTTTAACCCCAGTGTGTCGGCTAGATGTTGCTCAAATTTAACGCGTCTCGTCTCTAGATATAAGACCGACATTAAAGGAAGAAGCTACAACAACCCCAATCAATTACACGACAGGTTTCACTCATATCCTCTCTCCCACCTCACTTCCTCACTTCGTTAATTTTACGTATACTTGATGAGGTCCGTCAAAAACGTGTGAATTTCTTTTCATTTTTCATTTCAGCTTTTTGGAAGTAAAAGTCTGATGATCCAGAACCCTGTTAAAGGTGTTATGGTGAAATAGCTTATTACATGGAATCTTAACGTGGTCTGTTTTTTATTCAAAAAAAAAAAAAAAAAAAAATATATATATATATATATATATATATATATATATATATACGGTAAATTTACTAAAATTCATATTTATTTGATATTATTTTTTCAGTGTACTTTCGAATGTGCAACATTCCTTTTCAAAGTATGTTTTTTATATATTTCGTAACTGATTTTGTTTAATTGTTTAATTCCAATTTTCTCACGTTTGCTGATAGCAATTTCAATTTACTCACGGTGAAGTCATTTAAACGATCAAACTACAATTTTTATGTGCATTTTTTATTATTAAAAATACTTCAATATACGACAGCCTATAAAGAAAGATACACTATTTAATGTTTGCTACTTATCTTTTATTACAATAGCCTCAAGAATTTCTTTGCACTGTGTCCAATATAAGATTCTGGCGTTATCTACTAAAATAGATAACCCATGATTTTTATATACGGGACTGTACAAAAAAAAGAATCAAAATTCTGAAAGCTATTGCAATAAAAGAGAAGCAGCTGATATTAAATAAGGTATTTAATCTATATGGCATCGTATATTGAAGTGTATTTAATAAAAATAAAGAACGCACATAAATATTCAAGTTTGACCGTTTAAATGATGTCACTACGGTGGGGTAGCGGATTGGATTGAGGAATCGGAGAGCCGAGTTCGAATTCCAATCGAATCCATTACATTCACTTACGTGCTTGGGAAAGGTATGAATCCTCTTCTTCCCCACCCCCAGCAGGAAAGACCGGGTCCTATAAACTTGGATTGCAACTGGTCTACCGCAAAAAGTAATGGCAACCCAGTGCGGGAAAAATTTGCCTCGTCAGTCATGTATCGAAAGATATATGATCGACTAAGCGTGACACATAACTGACACCTCGAGTAACTTGAAATTGTTTCAGGCAAACGTGAAAACGCCAGAATTAAACAAAAACAATTGCTTAAATATATGCAAAATACAATAATGGAAAATGAATGTAGTACTATTCGAAAGTACTCAAAAAATAATATAGAATAAAAATAAATATGAACTTTGGCAAATTAACCGCTAACCTAAAGGATGTTCCAATAACTTGGACCGATTTTAAATGTGAATTACATTTAAGCGTCTAATGATTTTTTTTTCTTTTTCTTTCAGGTCTAACAACTTAAGTCTTTGGCAATTTCAATCATGGAAAGATTAAGAATCAAACAACGGGTTAAAGTTCAAGGGTGCAATTGTTAAAATTGTTCGTAAATTCAAACAAACAGGGTTGGAGGCATATGTCTGTTCGTTTATGCCATTCAGCTGAAAACATTGCGGCAGTTCACAAGAATGTGGCCGAAAATCCAGACCCCTCTATTCGTCATCGCGCGCAGGGATTGAACCTCTCCACAACAACGTTATATCGTTTCCAATTGCACTCTCGGTTGGTCGATTATGTTCAAAAATATCGCGAAATGCATTTCTATTTGAACATCCATTTTCGTAATAGGCTTCGATAAAGGTGAATATGTTTTAAGAGAGGAAAACTGAATCAGGAGGTTACAACAGGAAGAGGGATCATCATTTCACCTTGAGCTAAATATTTTCTTATTTTCAAAGTAGAGTCTATTAGTGTTATAAAAGCATCGGAGAATTCCAGTAAGATATCTTTAATCATTTCTAAGATACAGCAGTTCAAAGCTTAATCTAACAATTAGGCATCGGACGTGAAACTGACTATGATTCAAATCCTAACACCAGAAAATTTGGACTTTCACATCGATTTCGACGTCTGAGGACCCAACAGTTTAGGTTAAAACTGAACCGACACGCTCCCCACACTTGAATTATTTGATTCTAATGATGAAGGGTTGGGAAGAACCGCCATACCCCTTTCGGAATAACAGACAACAGAGAAGTGGTGCACAGAGTTCTACAAATCTTCAATTACTCCTCCTCAAGGTTTTCCTTTTCTTAGACTTTACACAAGGCAATAAGATCGAGGGTGTTGGTAAAAGATGGAATCCTGTCTTTCCAAAATAATTAACGTGACAGAAACGAAAAAGAATCGATTGGAAATTGAACTTGTATTGGTGAATCCATATAAAAACTGTTGAATTTTATTAAAGAATTTCATCTTCTAGGCATATGGTCAAGAAAACTGTGAAGAAACTAGAATAGATAGATAGATAGATAGATAGATAGATAGATAGATAGATAGATAGATAGAAAATAAGCTACAAACGTTGACTCATCTAACATGCCTATTACTATACAAGTAAAACGCTATCAGCACTATTCTGCTACTTTTCCGTTTAGTGACCATCGTTGCATGGGTGTATAAATATCCTCCCTAGAGAAGTTGGCGTTAATTGACTGAAGTCTCTCTTGTACCAAAACAGTAATAATCCGTGTAGAACCGCTTCCCCGTTTGAGATACCAAAATAGATTGTAATCTGAAAAGGCCAAAGGTGAGGATCGATTAGAATTCACATAGTTTTCCAACTTAGTGAATTGTATATTATCACACAAAATAGATGCGCGTCGCGCGTCTGGCGTGGATCGCCCACCCGTGGCACACCAGGCTGTGGTCCACCCGCCCACGGCACGACCAGCCGACCATAGTGCGTATAACGGCCGCAGTTCTATTACTACTGAGATCGGGTTAAACAAGAGAAACGAAACGTACGGAGTTGGACGTGTGGCGGCATCCATCTCGTGCGCGCGAGCGAAAACGTCACAAGACAGAAGACATCCTGGGCCGAAAAGGAGCTCTTAGCGTCACCACTGTTAATGCGGCGGTGGCGTGGCTTTTGCGAGAAATCACCCACTCGTCTAGGAAAAATCATCGAAACGTGCGCGACGGGTGCCCGCAAACACTTCTCTCGACTTGGAAATGCAGTGGAATTTAGGAACCGAATTTTTTTCTTGCTCGATCGAGACGGTAATGATGCTTCAGCAGGTTCACCTACGGGAATCTTGTTACGAATTTTTACTTCCTCTAAACGACCGCGAATCGAACGCCGAGACAAGCACAACACGTACAGCTAACGTCGACAGCAACGCGACACCCGACCACTCCACACGTGAAAGTGCACACTGCCCGAAAGCGTTGTTGACCGGATCCGAGGGCCACACAGGACCATTCGATCGGTAGTAGCGACAGCCGATGTGCACAAAGGGCAGGAACGTGATCGACACGCGGCTAACGGGAATTTCTCGTTCACGAATTTTGTTACAGCTCCCGGTCCCTATCACGAGTGGTGGCTAAGAGGTTTCCCAACCCTCTCGGGTAGGGAAGACGTCCTCGCTGATACCTCCAGTGTAGCGCGTGCGCGGTCCCAGATATCTAAGGGCATCACAGACCTATTATCCCTCCAGGTTGTGTCACTTTCTACCACCCGTCCCTCTAAGCAGTGCGTGTGAAAACCGACCCGGACCATGACGCGATGAACGACGGGACCTCCGTTGAGTAAAGACACGTCATCGCACTGGTTAGCAGACCGAAATGTCGTTCGTTATCAGAATCAACCAGACTGGTCGCCCCACCAATAAAGAACGGCCATGCACTACCACCATAAAATCCAAAGAAAAACATGCAGTGTTATTGGTCCTAACATAATATCTATGCTTCAGTCACTTTCCTACCTCCTTAATGTAGCTTCCCTGTGCCTTTTCTATAAATACTGTAGAAATGTAGAATGTTCTATAATTCCGAGCGCTTTTGAGCCATTATCAAATATGATTTTATTTTTTCAATTTAATTGGGTGTATGCGTTGTGTGTATGTTTTTAGAGTTATGTATTATTTTCCGAACACAGCACATTTTGGCCGTGTTCGGAGTTAATATTATTAAGTGTTTTTTTTTTATTATTATTATTATTATTAAGGCTTCCATTATTTTTAATCTTTTTTTTTACATGTGGATAAGGTTATTATGTTTGTATTTTCTACTAGTATGTTTCCTATCAAGTCTATAAGTTTGAGTGTGTCTTTAAATGGATTCTAATAGAGCTGTGGTCAAATAGGTGTAGCGTAAAGCGTCTATATATATATATATATATATATATATATATAGGAGGCTTCATCAACAGCTGTATCACAGCTCATCATTGTGGCTAGATATCCGATCACTTCAGGCTGAAACCCGACCAATTTGGCATCAGCCGGAAATTCTAACCCATAGGCCATGGACGCCATGGAAGAAAGGCGAATTTCTGCGTATTTATTTCAGGAGAGTCTTTCATTATCAGCAGTAATAGTTACTGTTTACAAATCCGTTGCCTCCCCGCCCCCACTGCTCAACCGAATAAATTATTTTATCGAGAATAAGCTACAGTAAGGGGTAGATAGATAGATTCTTTTATGCACGTATTTTTGTGTCCTCAAAATAAAACCAAATTAATGTACTTTGGTCAAATAGATGCGTGTAGATAATTTATATATATTTTTCTCTCTAATATATATATATATATATATATATATATATATATATATATATATATATATATATATATATATATATATATGGGGTCCTAAAATTCTTGGTCACATCAAATAGCTAATTACATAAAATATTTTCCACGACAGGAGATGACATTTTAATGTGTGCATAAAATATTTTAAATGCCTATCAAATAATTAGAATACATATAAAATATTTATATAGACGTTTCAGGTGTTGTCAGTCTCTGTCAAACTGTTCGACACAAGTCGTCACTTATATGTCATTGATAAAATCTAAAGAAGAATCCGCAATGTTATTGATCCTGACCTGGCATCTCAGCTTTAGTTGCCGTAACGTAGCTTCCCTGTGACTTTCCTATAAATACTTTGATGGTAATTGCTCTGGTTAACTTTCCTCTATGCTTCCTAGTCTTTATGAATTTATGCCCCGTACTAGATTGGCGGTTAGGTCTCATCATTTTTCTATTGAAATAGCTAGATGTAACCGTAAATTATTTTCTAACAGTATGCTTTCTCGCTCGTGGAAATCTCTTCTGGTTTCATACTTTCCAGTCAACTTTGATCTTCAAATGTATCTCTTTTACTTATTCTTTCACACTCAATAACCACTTGTGCGAAAGATGCCTTTCAAAAGCTAAACACAGTATAAAAAAAAATGAAAAATATCGCTAGAAACAAAGAAAAGCGTACTGAACTGCTATGTGGTATCATTCCTCCTATATGGCAGTGAATATTGGACAGACTCGTCAAAGATGAAGAGGAAACTTGATGCAACAGATAGATGGTTTATATAAATTGTTTCTAGAGAAGGATGCTGAGAATGCCATGGGCCGAACATGTGAGCAACGACGAAAAAGACAATAGCAAGAAAAAAGGATACTTATACTTAACATCAGGAAGAGACAGCTGAAATTTCTGGGGTAAATAATGAGAAAAAAGGAATTAGAAAATTTGATACTCACAGGACAGAATGAAGGTAAGAGAGACATAGGAAAGCAACGCACCTGATGTGTTTGAATGAATTGATGGCGAAGCAGGGGAGAGATGGAAAAAGACAAAAGTTATTAAGAGCTGCAAGGGATAGGAAATTGTGGAGAGCCATGATCACAAACGTCCTGAAGGGACAGACAAAAAAGAAGAAGAAGAAGAAGAAGAAGAAGAAGAAGAAGATCTCCCTTGGTCTTAGTGTCTTTATTACCTTGCTTGGGGCGAAATGACAAAAAAAAAGATATGTATATATAAATGATGGAGTAATATCAATATTTGTATGTAAATTTGGTTATAGGAGTCTATATTTTTATGTAAATTTGGTTATAGGAGTCTATATTTGTATGTAAATTTGGTTATAGTAAATTTGGTTATGCATAGATTTATTTCTAAGAAAAAGAAGAAGAAAAAAAGAAGAAAAACTCCCTTGGTCTTAGTGGCTTTATTACCTTGCTTGGGGCGAAATGACAAAAAATATTTGTATATATAAATGATGGAGTAATATCAATATCTGTATGTAAATATGTAAGTATGTAAAAATGTAAGTATGTAAATATGGTTATATGTGTCTATGCATAGATTTATTTCTAAGAAGAAGAAGAAAAAGAAGAAGAACTCCCTTGGTCTTAGTGGCTTTATTACCTTGCTTGAGGCGAAATAACAAAAAAGATATGTATATATAAATGATGGAGTAATATCAATATTTGTATATAAATTTGGTTATAGGAGTCTATGCATAGATTTATTTCTGCACTCTGTTAATCCGTACACCTATCTGTCTCTCTCCCCGAATTCTTTCATTAGTTGGCGGCTATTTTTTGCGATTACCTACTTCGTAACTTGCAGAATTTTTATCGGGTACCTCTCTTCCCCATTCTTACTCACCAAACCCACGTCGGCATAACAAGTTATCATGTAACTGAGCAGAGAATGGCATTGCATAACACGTTCGGCATTCGCCTGTAACTCGATCCTCTTTTCCCCAAAATGTTCCACTGAACGGATTCAGTTGCAGTTTTTCTCTGCTCCTTGCTTTCCTTGTTCCTAATTCTTCCTCTTCCTTTTTTTTTTCTTAGAGACTCCGTCTATTTGCAGCATTCGCCACCAAAAAGGATGTTCCTTTTCCTCGAGGCACCAAATATTGACCCCGCCTATTTCTTGAATATTTATTCCCACTTTATGCTCCGCCCTGTTTCATTGTATTTCTCAATGATCCTGCGTCTTTCTCACTGTCTGCCCCACGTCTCTCTCTCTCTCTCTCTCTCTCTCTCTCTCTCTCTCTCTCTCTCTGTCTTTATGTATACATACATACATACATACATGAATACATATACACACACACACACACACACACATATATATATATATATATATATATATATATATATATATATATATATATATATATTATGGACTCTCCCATCGATTTCAACGTATGAGCATTCGCCAACCTTACAAGTCAACATGTTGCACCAAGGCCGGTTTGAATTCAGAGTTTTCCTAGACCAGTTTGCCACCCAAGGCTATAGAATTCAGTCTCTCCTGCTATTTACCCGTATCTGGGGAGAAGAAATAGACTCATGCCTTTTCCCATTGAAGTGTATATATATATATATATATATATATATAATGTGTGTGTATATATATCTGTGTGTGCGTGTGTGTTAATAGAACAGTTTGTCCTTGTTCTATTACACACACACACACAGATATATACACACACACACACACACACACACACACACACATATATATATATATATATATATATATATATATATATATAAGTGAATGAAATGGATTCGACTGGAATTATGTGATAATACTCTGGGGAAAGGTATGAATCCTCTTCTTCTCTTTCCAGCTATGGGTAAATAGCAGGACAGACTGGGTTCTATAGCCTTAGATGGCAACTGGGAGAATGACAACTCTGAATTCAAAACATGCGGTGGGTTGTTTGGGGACCTTGTGGCACGTAGTGCACCAAGTCTCTGTATTCGGCCGTTCAAAAAGTGTGGATGGTCCTGCACGAAACCTTCACCACCAGAATCAAATCTCATGTGTTGGTGTCGGTCTGTCGGTTCCTAGGGACTGATCTGCTTGAGCCTTATACGTCGAATTTGACCGGAGAGTCAAGTGGATATGTATATATATATATATATATATATGTGTGTGTGTGTGTGTGTGTGTGTGTGTGTGTGTGTGTGTGTGTGTGTGTGTGTTGACTGGGGAGTTATTTACACTATTTATATTAGATCTATTGGCCTCACGTTTGTTGTTGCTATTCCAACGTTTCGGCTGTTTTGCCCACCGGCCTTCATCAGGTGTATATTACCCAAATCGATATACACATGATAAAGGCCGGAGGGTAAAACGGCTGAAGCATTGTGATAATGAACCTAGGCCCTCCGGAAGAAGAGGTACTGCTTGAGGAGATGGCTCTGGGGATTGAGCTGGCATTAATTTCAAACACCTCCGGTGTTGTACCAGTTAAGTATATATATATATAATATAACAGGACAACGAAAGAATAGATGTAATCCGAAATATGTTTTTAGAAATGTGTTATTGTTAATTGTAAGAAATTTTTTGGGGGCGTGCGGTCGCAACGCTGAGGTTGAATTTTTAAATTTTAAGATTGTGCGTTTTTGTACTAATATGGTAATAGGAGAATTCTTTTGTATTGGTAGGGTTTTCAATCAATTTGGCATGAACTAAATTGTTCAATAAATATATATATATACACTATTTACATTTTTCGGACTATTGAAGAAGACCGGAGCGTACAACGGCCGAAACTTTGTAATAAATATGGCAACAAAGATGAGGACAATAATTCGAATAATCTAAATAGGGTACATAATACCTCATCTCAGAAATATAGACACACACACGCTCACACACACATACACGCACACACACACACACACACACACACATACATACATACATACATACATACATAGATAAATAGATAGATAGATAGATAGATAATTATATTCTGTGATCTAGAGTTAAATACACAGTGGAAAGACGCAGTGCCTGGAAGGAAAGTGAGTCAAGTGTGGTCGTCTCATCACACCAGAGATGTTTGTGACCATGGCTTGTTCAGCAGCTTTTGACCAAGTAAATTTTCC